CTCCCTCCCTCCACCCCTCCCCCTCCCTCTCAGCTTTCTCAACCTTTCCCATCCCCACCCCCCATTCCTTTCCTGGTTTGGGCTGGTTCTTCATCTGGCATTCGTTCCACATTTTCTCAACACTGAGGAAAAGGTGCAGCTCAAAACCACATTCAAATACCCCGGGGGCAACGCCATACTGACGGCAAAGTCACCCCTGAACAGCCAGAAATCTATGCAGAAGGTTCCATAAAGCCCGTTGGTCAAAGAAAGCGAAAGCGGCATGCAGCGTAGAGGGGGATTTCTGTTCCAACATGAGTTTGCTGAAACAATGGAGGGGAAAGCCAATGCAGAATCGCCCTTGGTTGATCCAGTTCTTGGCCCGGCCGGGGACACAGATCCGTTGGGGGGGGGGCAGGGAGATGGAATCATGCAACCCTGTGGTGGAGGGGGGGGAAGGAAGTCAGTTTAAAGAGACAGGGACACAGCTGATGTGGGGCTTGACTGAGGAGGAGGCGACCCGAAGGCAGGAGAGAGGTTTTTTCCCCCCTCAGCTGCCACCACCTCATCTTGTTGCGCTACCTCAGGCATCGCCATCTCATCCTCCTCCATGAGTGACTGACTGACTGAGGGGGGACAGAGAGTGAGAGAGGCCGGACGCCACAGCTATTTCTCCCCTTCAGTCGCTGCCTCATCTTTGTGCACTGTCTCAGTCGCAGCCGCCTCCTCCTCCTGCTCTGCAGGGCTTTGCTCAGAGCGGCCGGGGAACAGGGCAGGGTTGAAGACAAGGGCCAGTGCGCATGCGTGAAAAGTAAGTCGTCAGCAACACAGCTTGCCTTTTATACACAGACACACACACGTATATAATTATTATTTTATTACAAAGATACACTCAGTACGTATACTTATACATACACAAAGATATACAGTAATTTTACAAGAAATCACAGTTAGCATTAAAAACACATAAATAATATCCAGTATTTAGTAAATAAATCAGGTTCCACAGAGTTACTCCCACTAGCCCTTTGACAGTATGTTTAGAAGCCAGATTTTGCTAAACCACTCACAGACAGTCAGTGATTCAGGCCTTTTACAGTTTATGGCAATAACCAGGGCTATTTTGGGGCAGGAACGCACAGGAACGGCGTTCCGGCTGGCTTCAGAGTTAGCCCCGCCCACTATAGCCAAAACCTCTGCGTGTGTGTGTGCCTCACCTCGGCCTCTCCAAGGTCTGACTTGCCTGGGCTTCCCGCAGCCACAGGGCACCTGGGCAAGCCAAGGGAAGGCAGTTTAAATTGCCTTCCCTTCCCTTCAAGGGGGGGCTTGCCCGGGCAAGCCAAGGGAAGACATGGGGGTGTGGCCTAATATGCTAATGAGTTCCTACTGAGCTTTTTCTACAAAAATAGCCCTGGCACTAAGCCATTCGTGCTGCTGTAAATAAACTTAATGCGAATTCCGAATCCGAATCGCCTACATAACCTCTTAGAAAACCCGGAAGAATTCATTTTGGTTCTACCCAGCATTTCTTCAACACAATTTACCAGTCTTCCAAAAAGTTCGAACCTTAGGGCAAGACAGAATTCTGTATTTCCCGGCTGAAAAAGGAAACGTTTCTCATTTTCAAGTGTGGCACTAGATGGCAGCAGAACACAGAGGATTGAAGCAAAGCCCTCCCCTTAATATCTCTCAGGAAAATTCGCTCTTTCATGGAGTCTGTTTCCATGTGATTGAGCCTAGGGTTATCACATAGGGTTGCCATTCTCCAGGTCGCACCTGGAATACCCGGGATATTGCAGCTGATGACCAAGATCAGTTCCCCTGGAGAAAATGGCTACTTTGGAGGGCGGGTTCTAGGATGGCAACCCCTGCGAAAGACCCTCCCTTCCGCAAACTCTGCCCTGCTCAAGCTCCACCCCTAAAATCTCCAGGTATTTCGCAACTCAGAGCCGGCAACCCTGGTCATGTCAAACATGCTGGTCACTGCCAGGCCAAGAAGAAGAAGAAGAAGAAGAAGAAGAAGAAGAAGAAGAAGAAGAAGAAGAAGAAGAAGAAGAAGAAGAAGAAGAAGAAGAAGAAGAAGAAGAAGAAGAAGAAATTGGATTTATACCCCGCCCTTCACTTGGAGTCTCAGAGCGGCTTACAAACTCCTTTCCCTTCCCCTCCCCACAACAGACACCCTGTGAGGTGGGTGGGGCTGAGAGAACTCTGACACAAACTGCTCTTTTTCAAGGACAGCTGTGCCAGAGCTTGTGACTGACCCAAGGTCACATCAGCAGGTGCAAGTGGAGGAGTGGGGAATCAAACCCGGTTCTCCCAGATTAGAGCCCACACACTTAACCACTACACCAAACTGGCTCTCTTAACCCCCAGCAGCCCTTAGCCTATCAGGAACTGGAGCCCTGGCCAGTCGCTTCCTATTTGCTATGAGAGTTGGGGTTTTAATATCTCAAGTGATACCCTTAGCAACTGTATTCTTTCGGGCTCTCGGATTGGTCACTGTGAGGCCAACTGGCGACAGCCAACGCGGCAGTTTTCAAATCCCCCCCTTTGTGCCACGGCAAACTGCACAAGGCGAGTAGAGAAGTTGGTTGGTGCAGTTTCTCTAGGGTTGCCAACCTGGAGATCTCAACTGATCTCCAGACTACCAAGATCAGTTTCCCTGGAGACAATGGCTGCTTGGGAGGGTGGACTCTGTGGCACTGTACCCTGCTGAGGTCCCTCCCCTCCCCAAACCCCGCCCGCCCCAGGCTCCACCCCCCAAATCTTCAGACACAACCCGGAGCTGACAACCCTAGGCTTCTCAGAGGTCAACAGTAGATCACCCTGCCTGAGGGGTCAAGGACCACTTCCCTTTTGGCAGAGGTGGCTACTAGCCATGGCGATTGAAAAGAACCTCCATATTCATATGCACTAATCCTCTGAATCCCAGAGCCAGGAGGTAACATCATGGGAAGGCCTCAGCCTCTCTGCCCTGTTGCTGGTCCTCCAGAGGAACGGGTTGGCCACTGTGAGAGACAGGGTGCTGGACTGGATAGACCTTCACTGGTCTGATCCAGCAGGGCTCTTCTCATGTTCTTATGAAGGCCTCAGTCTCTCTGCCCTGTTGTTGGCCCTCTAGAGGAACTGGTTGGCCACTGTGTGAGACAGGATACTGGACTAGATGGACCTCTGGACTGATCCAGCAGGGCTCTTCTGATGTTCTTATGAAGGCCTCGGCCTCTCTGCCCTGTTGGCCCTCCAGAGGAACTGGTTGGCCACTGTGAGACAGAATACTGGAGTAGATGGACCCCTGGTCTGATCCAGCAGGGCTCTTCTGATGTTCTTATGAAGGCCTTGGCTTCTCTGACCTGTTGTTGGCCCTCCAGAGGAACTGGTTGGCCACTGTGTGAGATGGGATACTGGACTAGATGGACCACTGGGCTGATCCAGGAGGGCTCTTTTCTTATGAAGGCCTCGGCCTCTGTGCCCTGTTGTTGGCCCTCCAGAGGAACTGGCTGGCCACTGTGTGAGACAGGATGCTGGACTGGATGGACCACTGGCCTGATCCAGCAGGGCTCTTCTGATGTTCTTATGAAGGCCTTGTCCTCTCTGCCCTGTTGTTGGCCCTCCAGAGGAACTGGCTGGCCACTGTGTGAGACAGGATGCTGGACTGGATGGACCACTGGCCTGATCCAGCAGGGCTCTTCTGGTGCTCTTATGTGGTCACCTGTCCATTCGTACCAGGAGGCTGTGACTGATTCCCCTGCCCCCTGCCCCCAGTCTCAGCACTGGTTGAAGTCCAACGTTTGGCAACTTGGCCCAGTCTCTGGCCCCTTCCTGAATTAGCTCCAGAGCTCCTGGGTTGCAGATGTACCAGCCCTACCTCTATGGGCATTTCCAGCCAGCTTTTCTTAGTGAAGGAGGAGGCATCCCATCTCCGCCGGATCCCCCAACCAGGGTGCTGATCCGCTGCTTCTTGCTCAGCACAGAAATACAATGCTACTTGCGTGCTTGCGCCCATTCTTTGTGATTAAGCGGTAGCTCTACTTACTTGGAGCGGTTGGGGCAAGTGACTCAGCACGCCTGGACATTGGGGGGGGCACCACAGCACTAGGGATTCTTATCACGTGGGTCCTGTTATTAGAGAGTCAGCATGGGATGTTTCCTTCAAGAGTTAATAAGTAGATTTATGGGAAAATGCACTGAAAATATCAACGTGTAATAACTTTAAAGAAAATTGTTATAAGATGATGTATATGACACTGAAAAAGATTGCTAATATGAATATCAATATGTCAAACAAATGTTGGAAGTGCAAAAAAGTGGAGGACTCCTTTTATCATATGTGGTGGACTTGTGAAAAAGAAAAAAAATTGGAGTGAGATTCATGCAGAGATGGAAAAAATTGTGAAATCTACATTTAAAAA